AAAACCATCACCATCTTTGTTATCTCCTGCATCTGTCTAGTTGGCTCACACTTGAAATTGTCCTTTTATTCTTCTCTCTGTCCTCATCCAACGCCACAGCAAATGGAGCTGCTGGTTTTGAACAAGCTGAAGTGGGACTTGGCCTCAGTAACTCCTCTCAACTTCATTGACCACTTCCTGTCAAGCTGCCTGTCAGGAGAGAGAACAGGCCCATACTCCGGAAGCATGCTCGTACCTTCGTGGCATTGTGTGCCACAGGTATGTATGGGTCCACAACTTACATGACTGTTTTTATAAAAAGGGGTGAAATGTCTCTTAGGTATGTAAGGTGTTCCCATAAGCACTATAACACAGTGGCACTTCAACTGAGGCACTTTTAAGCCAGGCCATCCTTATTTGTTATGCAGTAGGCTGCACACTATAGCAGTCTGGCAGACTGACCCTGCAGCAGCAGTGTTTATTACAACATCGAATATGATACGAATGATGGAATAATTTCATGTTTGCTTTAGGTTGACTTTATAAAGTTAGTTTTCATATTATAATGTTTCTAAAAAAGAACTTCAATAACTCCTTAGTCACACAAGTGCAGCTTGACAAATATAGACTCTTATCTGTTCTGTTTTTTCCTGCCCTTGTCTCATCATCACTGGGATGACTCTGCTCGGTGGCTACACAAATAACACAAAAACACAGCAGTGGATTATGGAAGCGCACTTGTTTGATCTTGCAAGTAACATCCTGACATCCCTCCACAAGTTGATTTTTATTTTTGCCAAACAATAAACTCCACCACGCATATGGTTGTTTCAGGGCTTGGCGGCAACCTCCACCAAAATAACGCAGGGTGCCCAGCAGGAAAGTTGAACCAGGCTAAACCTATGCTGCAACGTCATGTGGCGTGGCACTACATTGGCCAAACATATGCATGTGCACATTCCTGCTAGATATTACTGTCTGACTCTGTGTGTGTGTGTGTGTGTGACTGGACCAGTGCAAGTGTGTTTTCAGTCTGAATTAAATCTTAATAATCTTTGACTATGGAAGTTGAATTCTGAATGTTTTTTGTCCTTATTTGGTTGTCTTTATTCTCATCAGCTATTTGAAAGGTGCAATATTTACATCATGTTCCATTTTAATGCTCCGCAGATGTTAAATTCATAGCCAGCCCTCCGTCGATGGTAGCAGCAGGCAGCATGGTAGCAGCAGTGGAGGGCTTACAGATGACGATGGTGGGCAATGCCATGATGTCTCAGAAACTGACAGAGCACCTGGCCCAGACCATCAGGAGTGACCCGGTGGGTACATCTGTCCGTGACATGACTTGGCTCAGCTCTGCTTGATACAATTCAAAGCAGGTTTATTTACATAGTCCCAATGACAAACATGCAATTAGGTAGCAGAAGTTACCTAATAGCATTTTTCATATAGAGCATAAACAGCAGCCTACTCAGAGTTAACTCAGGGTTATCAAGCAAACTCAGGGTTGACAAAATCTGACCGCCTACACTGTTAAACGGTACCACGACGGCGAATAATAAGATGTTGTTGAGTTGGTGTTAACTTAAGTAGAGTATGTGCGCATTCGCATAGAAGGGGTGTGTTTGGCCGCATGCTCCGTATTTTTCTTAGAAGAA